GCGCGAATTTAGCGGTTGCGAACTGATGAACTGTGCCCGTCGGTAGCGAGCCTGTTGTGAACCCAGGGAAGGGCGTGAAATTCATCTTTCACGATAATTAAATCTGAAAACCAAACAGAACGTTGTTAGCATTAGAATATAAATAATGAGCATGAAGTTGATCGGTTATTGAACGTCCGAAACGAAATACAATATTTTTTCAGCTATGCAAATTTTAACACTGAATAAAGCAGTCAAAATGTAAATAATAATTAAAAACTATGAAAATTGTCAAAACTGAAGATATTGTGTTATTTGTTTGCTAATTATCAAATTCTATAAACATATAAAAAATCATATTATATCGCTATAACGTCTTACAAAGTTGAAAATATACGTGTTTTTTTAAATTATCGTTTCTTTGCTCAAATGAAACGTATTTGCGTGTTACGAAACAAACAGAGTATCAAACACTTGATAACAGATACGTATTTACATATCATATTACACAACTACACTCACTTTGACGTATGAGTATTGCTGTCGAAGTTCATCGACCTTCGATACTTGAAACTGTTTCAAAACATATTCCGTGTTTTCATAGAATTCACAGATATTCTCTAATCCCGTAACGTTCCTTCAGCAGACATATTCCGAAGTAAAGTCAAGAATACATCATGTCTGTACATCGATCATGTTGCTAAATACGAAAAACAAATTGCAAGTCAATAAACATGCATAAAAACCAATTAATTTGAACATCATCTGTCATATATCGCAAACATCGAATCTAAAGATATTTTATTTCTCGTTTAATTTTATCCATCGTTCGGTGTCAATACTATTAACTCTATTGTATTCCATTTTCTATGTTCGTGTCCCGTACTCGATACTAGCTACAGGTGGTTGGAGAACTTGTACACGACCCGCTGTTGAAAAGTTCCGCGCTATATGTGTTCCTACAGTAGAGTACGATTACCACAAAAAAAGAAAAAAAAAAAGAAGCCGCCTCCCCGAGCAATGTATGTGTACGTTACCCTATTCGTTCGTAATGTTCGTATCGTATTAAATCAAGATCAAGGTTGAGTGGAATAGCATGCATCGGACGGAGGTAAACAGCAAATCTATTTGCTCTAAAGATACAGTGTTTAGCAATTTGGATCGGGCTTTCACACCACCGTTAACCACCGCTACCCTTGTTCTTCCTGCGTTTGAAACGCGGTGCATTTGGTAACAGCACCCGAAGCATTTAACCGCGAAAGTGGTGAGAAGTTAAACGTCGAGAGTATCCCGCGCTACCTCCTACCGTCGTAGTCTTAACTTCGAACCTCTTGACCATGTGTTGGTATGTGGGGGTGGGGTGAAAGATCCCCCACTTCACCCCCTTCCCCACCTCAAAGGGATCCGGGAGCAGGGAGGATAGTCGTCGAAGTGGCCCAGGATTGCACCCCACTCCACCATGATGGTGCCCCCCACGGGGGTAGGGGTTAGGAGCACTCGACAGAGGGTAGGGGGGAACCCATAGGTGGGAAAACGGGAACCCACCGCGAAATAGAGCCCGAGACTCACTCTCTTTCTCGTACTAACACACGGAATATCGCGAGAATAGGACGGGAAGGAACGGATAGATCGGTGTGTAGGTGCGTAAGCGTGTGCCGCAAGCTCGAAAGGGTAGGGGCATGTCAAGAAAGAAGGGAGACGATCCTCGACATACCGGGAACTCCCCGGGGAGGGGAACGCGAAATATCGGGAGAGAACATACGAAGCAGACATCGCGGCAGACGAAGTGGGACACACCGATGACTCTCGCCCTTGATCCACCCGGTGGGTAGGGAAGGAGTAGTAGAAAACGGGTGAGGGATAGAGAAAGAGAGAGAAGAGGTTAGGTTACCCGTGCACCTCTCCTCCTTTCGACGTACCCGAGGAGGGTGCCGTGTCGAATGGACGATTATTTCGTGCCAGCAAGTCGTTGCGGGTGGTTGCACGGCTTAGTTAGAGAAACAAGAAGAAACTACCGTAAACGTGAACACACACGCATAAACAGGACGCACCGCGGGATGCGTTTTTCGACTTTCGCGGAATGGCGTGTGCGACTGACCGGTCAGCCTCGCCGACGTACCGTTGTTGGACGCTTTTGCAAGACGCGCATGTCGTAATGGCGCCGATTCTCTTAAGGTTCAACATATCTCTCTCACACTACATAACCGTCTCCCTCGCGTACACGTATCGAAGAGAGCATGTCTGAGCATTCGCGGTTTCTAGAGGAATTCTAGTGTCTCGTATGATATCGGGGGCAGCGTACGTTGAATGGAACGGCTCTCGGGCATTGTGCAATCAGATATGCTTTCTTACTAGCACCCAGGCTAAGGAAAATACGTAAATTTCGCACACAAGTAATAAGATAGGGTAAAACTGTAATAGAGAGAAAGAGAGAGAGACAGAGAGAGAGAGAGAAAGATACGCTATATACGATACAGATTACGACGGGTACTCTATATCTAACGTTGAACGGGTGTAGTTAAGGCAACATCGCAGTTGTGTAAACATCGAAGGCAAGTGCGCGCGCGCGCATATAGACGGCGCCGCGGCTGTTAGGTAAACTGATGGACAAGGTTACCACGTCAGCAGATTCGGTGATACATCGGCCATGATGGAATTGAGTACACGGTGACGCGAGAAAATAGCACAGGTCCGCGAAGCCCGATGCTTTGTTCTCTCGATGGTTATTCCCTCTCTTCTCCCTTTCGCCCTGCGTCTCTCCCTCCCTTCAGTGCTCTTTCGATCGCGCATCGGGAGACGTTACGTGGAGAGGAAGTAGGAAAAAGATCGGGCGAGTTGGCAGAGGCGAGAGCAGGGCAGAGGCGAAACGGAGGACAGAGTAGAGCCAACAGAGGCACAGGCAGGGCTGTTGTTTACACCCCCACCTCGACGGGTTAGAGGCAGCGAGATGCCACGGAGGGGCCTCCGAGACCTCGGTGGGCACCCACCACCACGCAATTTCCAACCCCACCAGCCTCTCAACCACTGTCCGCACCTCCAACCACCCCACCAAAGCCAGCTCGAGCCAAGCCGTGAGCCACGACGAGGGCCCCGCGACGATTTTAGTGTCTTGGGGTGGGTGCTCTGTGGCCACCGTTTCGCGGTTTCTCGTGCACGTTTCGCATTAGGAGTAAAACGCGTAAAGATTCGTGGGGCGGCATCCGTCCGCGGATTCCTTCGACTCGTACCTTTAGTTTACCGTACGGAAACACACGTATATAGGTGCACGCGAGTTACCTGGGTAGAACAAGACGATCATCATCCACGAGGAAAATGCGTGTCCTACTCACCCACAAGCAGCTGTGTCTCTCCCTTGTGCACTCCAAACGTTGTACTGCTACTACTGTCGCCGCGTCGGAAGCTTCGCGTAGTACAGAGACCGTCCGCCTGGCTGGCTCGCCTGCGTCGTTCTCAATCTTCACCGTGGCGGCAGCAACTTTCTCATTTCTACGTATACATTCGCCGCTGTGCCACGGCTCTCTTGGCTAGCCACGGCTACTTTGCTTACGGTGCACACGTCATACGAAGGAGAAAGAGAGAAAGAGACAGAAAGAGAGAAAAAGAGAGACGTACGTCGAAATTGTACGTGGGTCTTTCAAGATGATCGTGACGAGTCGTGACTCGTGATAAATTCGCGCACTACTGGCAGTCTTCCTGCGTTAACGGCACAAGCCA